GTTTTTCCAACCAATTAAAGGTCCAGTGTGTAAGATTTAGAGGTATATATTGGCAGGAATGGAATATGATATAAGAAGTATGTTTTCCTTCGTGTATAATCTAAACAGCCATTTTGTGTTCTCACATTGGCTACTATAGTTAGCAGCGTCAGATTTTTTTTTCAACATGAAACTGCTTTATCCAGTGTTTATACCGGTTTAAATCACCAGGTGTATTTGTTGTGGAGAGGAAGAGACCTCCGCGGATAATTCAGCTGACAGTTAAAACTTTCTCAACATCCCGATCTTAAATTGTCAGAGAAAAAGGGTGAGCACACAGTAGCAGGTGCTGGGCTAGCAACCCTTCTGCAATGTGCCAAACAGCATTGGAGAAACACTGAATTGTAACATTAAACTGCTTTGTTCAGTGTTTATACTAGTTTAAATCATCAAGACTGTTTCATTTGTAGAGGAAGAGACCTTTGTGGATAATTCGGCACTGAATGAAAACCTCTTAAACGTCCAGATCTTAAATTGTCAGAGAAGAAGTGTGAGCACACATTAGCAGCTGCTGGGCTAGTGACCCTTCTGCAATGTGTCAAACAGCATAGGAGAAGCCCTGATTTTTTAACGTAAAACTCCTGATTTACTGGTTTAAATCACCAGGTGCATTTGTTTTATAGAGCAAGAGACCTCTGCTGATAATTCAGCTCCCAATAAAAACCTCCTTAACGTCTGGATCTTTAGTTATCAGAAAAAAAAGGTGAACACATTAGCAGGTGCTGGGCTAGCGACCCTTCTGCAATGTGCAAAACTGCCTTGGAGAAACATTAAATTGTAACATAAAACTGCTTTATTCAGTGTTTATACTACTTTAAATCACTGGGTCCATTTATTTTGTAGAGGAAGAGACCTCGGCAGATAATTCGTCTCTGAATAAAAATCTCCTGAACGTCTGGAATGTTAAGTTATCAGAGAAAAATGTCAGCACACATTAGCAGGTGCTGGGCTCAGGGCCTGTGTCCAACATGCCAAACACCTTTGGAAAAACACTGATTTGTCACATGAAACTGCTTTATTCAGGGTTTTTACCCGTTTAAATTACCTAGTCTGTTTGTTTTGGGGAGGAAGAGGCGTCTGTGGATAATTTGTCTCCCGGTAATAAACACGTATATTGAGCTGTCTGCAATCTGCAATCCTCACCACTAGATGCCACTAAATCCTACACACTGTTCTTTTGAATGGGAGGTTTGGTTAAATAGTGCAGAAGACTTATTTTTCAAATACTTTAGCTGGTTTCAAATAATAAAAAAAATGATTTCTTTGCATAGGTAAGTTGTGAAAAATCCACCTAGGTTTTAGACTACTGGCTTTCCTGTTGATTGTACATGTGTATATAGTACAGTGCATTTATAGATCATGTTTACAAGTAAACTATACATGTCAGCAACCTTAATTCCTGCTCCAGCAAAAATCATACTTGTCGCTTGTTCCGTAGATCAAGCACCTCGTGCACTTTAGTAACTTCTACGTTTGTTCGCAATCATTTTAACACATTTGTGGAGAAAACTGTGTTCACTCGAGGAAGAGCTGATGTTATATTTTTTCCCCCATGAGGGAGGTAGAGAATATTCTCCAGTTTATGCTTGATCACAGTAATGACGATCTATGTTCCCACAGTTTGAAATAATTAGTACACTGTGGGATTTAGAGAAATCAGTCCAAGCTGTGAATGTGTAGCTGTTGCCTTATAAAAAAATAATCCACAACACACTGAATCTTCTGGCGAAAGGAACTCCTGTAAGATTTCTCCAAAGTTCGTAATATATTCAAAGACGTTTCAAAATTTTTGAATGTAAATATATAATTGTACTGCTTTCTGAAGCTGCTGCTGTCCTGCCATGCTGAATCTGTGCCTTTCCCTTACAATGTCTTATTTTATATTTTTACTCTCCAGATTTGGTGGCTAGATCAGACTCCATATATTAAATTTTGACAATAATAAATGAAATTGTAAATACCACGGCTCTTGTTTGTCATCTTTACTGCTTCACTCCGTCTCGTTTTCTCACATAAATAGTTACAGAGACATAATTCTGTATTAAAAAAAATCAAATACATTATATCTTTATTTTACAAATCATCACTTTATCAACATAAATGTTTCAACAGGTTGATCCGTGTGTCATTTCAGTGGTGTCACTGCCATTTCTCTGCTGTTAAAGGCCACTGTAGACTTAATATCATGAGACGACTAAGGTTAAGGATATTACCCTCTTACTGTGAGCTCATCAGCTGATCAGGGCTGGGAACTTGTTAGATAAGGGTTGTAATTGCTCTACAGTGTGGGTTTTTGAGTAGCATGTAAGGTCAGTGGATGCGTCCTTTCCACTGACAGGCAAACTTAATCAAAATCAAGACACATCTAGTTATAAGTCAGCAGCAGAACCTCATAATTAATCTTCACAATCAAGACAAAACAGAGTCCATCGCTATGTCAACATTACAGCGGCCAGTTGTGAAATATAATTCAGTGGCATCAGTGTCCACATAAGTCCCTTCTCAGTTAAGTGCAGAACAGACACACAGTCCAACGACAGGCAGGTGATACATGCGCCTCAGTTGGCACCGGTCTTCGGTCCCTGCAGTCTCGCACGCCTGGCCTCCTCATCCATTTCATCCATGATCCGCTCCTGGGAGACGGAGTAAAATGTGTAGCCGTCTAGTTGGGGGGGCAAATGGTTAAGGAAAATATTTGACAGCAAGAAGAAAACTGTGACCAACACATGACAAGCAGCGTCAGTCGGGCGTTTGTATCCAGTTGCTTGAGAACAGAACATTTAGTCATGTGTCCTATCATACCCTCTCTGTCTTTGGAATCTAACACACTCAGTTGCCAGTTTAGTATGGAACACCAAGCTAAAACTTATGCAGTCTACTTTAACATCGTTCCTGCAATAGTGCCACTCACTGTTGACTAAGGAAAAAAGTTGATAGTTGAAAAAGTGTTGTGCACCCTAAGAAAAACAACAACATGATTTTAGTGGGAAAGGTGATTATTGCATTTAATTTTCACTGGAAAAAAAGAAGAATTGAAAAAACTATTTCTGCTGGGGTCTGTACCAAACACACATGTTCCCTCACATCTGGAATATGATTTGTAGGCTGGGACATCTCTGCAGCTCCACAATGCTTCGTTTATAAAAGTATACTGAGACATATTTTACCTTTATTTAAAAAACTGCAGTGTCTGTGATTTAAAAAGTGCACTTGGTCATAATGCAATTTCAATTATATTTTGATTAACAGTGCATTGTGCAGCCCTTTGTCTGCCCTCACTGGTGAATATAGGGAAACTTATTTGACAGGAACATTTTAAAAAGTAGATGACAGTTTTGTATGATAAAACAAACTAACAATAGGTCAAGGTCGGTCAACATTTTGAGATAGTAAGTCAAAGTAAAAAAATGTACAATTATGACTTGGTAAGTTAGCTTACTCTACAATTTTTTATTTTTATTTTCATGTATTTATGTTATGGATGGAGAAAAAAATCAATGCACCATAGTATTGCAATATTTAGCATGCAATACTGTATAGATACGCCGATGCAAAGTGTCAGCATTTTATTATATAAATTACTAATGTTGGAAATACAAATTAAACTTGTGGTAGACCGTTAGACAAGTGAATCAATTTCTTTTTCAGCCCACTGCATTAATGCTGCTGCAATAAAACTTACTGAAGTGACATGAAGAGGCTTTATCATATGGGATATAAACAGATGTTGACGAAGTTTTTCCTTAATTTGCAGTTGAAAAAAACTAATAAATTAAGATAAATTGCAACATATATTATCACAGTACTACAGTATCACAGCCCCGCAGCTCTGATACTTGTTACCTAAAAAACTTGTTACAGTTATTACTTTTTTTTTATACTATTTTATCTGTCCCATAAAGCACTTTGTAGCTGTGTTTTAAAAACTGCTATACAAACAAAGTTTATTATTATTAATTTATATCCACTTCCTGATATAAATGTGCTTCCATATATGAGTTTATTCTGATATTTTTGTAAAAACAAAAACACAACAACAATGAAACACTCACTGGGACAGCTCTCTTTTATAAGTTTTCAACACTGCCATCACTAGTACCCTGTGACGCATTCAGGAACAGGTGGAGGAGGTAACACCGGGAGACATCAGTTGGACTGACCGTGGTTCACCTTCTGCTTCCTGCCTAATATAAGCTGTAGCTTCGGTACATTTAAAGAGCACAGTGTTTAAACGATTCATGCACATTACTAAGTTACCCACAGATATTTAAAATACAAAATTTAAACTGTTTTTTAGTGTCATAATGCGCCCCACACCACTTTAGTTAGGCTAACTGACATGTAACTTTATGTCATAGCTAGCATGTTAGCATCCACTTAATAGGGAACTTTAAGCCTCGGACATTTTAGCTACATCCACCAGACAGTCAAACGCAATAACTGCCAATGTCAACATGTGCAGATAAACTAGCGTTAAGGGTTTATACAGTGTTATCCAACATCCAGGGACCCCTGAGTAGCGTTAGCATGCTAAGCTAACGTTACGTAGTTCACCTTGTGTTGACGTTAGTGCGCTCGGCAAGGATACAGATGCCCATGACGAGTGCTCCAATGGCGAGTCCCGTCGCGACGTTTCGTGTCCGCAGCTTCTGTGTCCTCTTCTTCCACTGCTCGATCTCCACCTGTCGGATAAAATTCAGCTGCTCTTTCGAAAGACCCTCTTTAGTGGGGTCTATCCTGGTCGCAACGCGAGCATCGGGCTCCTTCGGCGTCTTGTCGGCCATGTCTGCACTCTGTAGTCAGTGACGGTGTTTCACGCAGTTACACCAGCAGCTGTATTTTAAATGATCTACTGATTTAGGAGGCGTCTATTCCCGCTGTGAGCAGCCCATCAGTGTGTTGTGAGATCTACACTGAGCACCAGGAGCGCTACTACGTAACAGAGCCAACGGAACGAAACGGTGCAACATCCAAATGAGCCCCCAGTGCAGCTACATGGTTCCTAGTAGGAGACGTTGAATCGGCCCTCACGGTAAAAACCAAAACGGTCCAATGACGCCATCTTCTGGAAAATTCAAACTTAATTATTTTCTTTTCCAATTTACTTCTGACAAACAGGTTTGTAAATGTAGCTTTTGTGTTTAAAGAAGACGACCGGACCGTTAGATAACCTTAGTATAGTAAAATGGCGAAACGGTTCTTTTGTTCTCCAAGTGAAAATACAAGTTTCAAGTTTCGCGAAATTTCGTTTGACCTTCTCACAGATTTTCTTGTTAATCTCAACAAAAGAAACAAAGACAACCTCAACAGTTTATCAAAATGTAGCGGGAGCTTCAAAGACAGAAGACTAACGGGTGAGTAACGTTAATATTAGCCTACAAGCTAACTTAAAGCTAACTGTAAAGCAGTTTGCACTTTAGCTTGCTAGCAAACAAAATGTATTATTACGGTAATTTTGCCTGTTTTATGAGCCAAGTGTATTTTCATCTGGGTTTATGTTTATAACCGTTATTTGTAGAAACATTGCAGTTCTTATTTATTATATTTCCTGGAAGTTACATTATCTATTATATTCAAAACATCTCCATTCCTCTATAGGGCACCCAGGTAAACATTTGTTATATAATTTGTAATCTCTACAGTGCTTTTGATTATCTTAAACCACACACAGCTGTGGCAGTTAACCAGTGGGTATCTTAATACACACTTCCTCGTTGCAGAATGCTAGTTTTTAATTTTTTCACCCCTGCGAAACAGACTAAATCTAGTATGAGATAATCCATTAAAAAACAATCAAGCCACTTCATGTCACATGTTCTGGTCGTTTAATTTCTGGGATTAAATATGTAAAACTTTTTCAGCAATGTTTCGATGGCTAGTTGCCCCATCTATGTCCATGGCGATATTTGGAGTAACTCCCCAAGATGGTAAATTAAGTAGAGCCCATCATCCTGTGTAAAGGAAGGACTCTTCACCTCCAATATATGGACATTGGATTAAGGATGTTATGCATCATTTACCATTAAAGACACTATGGACACTTTATAAACACCACTGTCCCCTGTGTTTGTTTTTTGCACATACAATCACTTGCACTAGATATGCTCTCTTTAATCCACTGCTCATTTTTATTCATTGCTCGTTATCATCCACTTCTCTTTATTATTATTATTATTTATTGTTGCTTCTTGTATTTTTGTACTTTCTTTTGCATGCCTAGTTTTTAAGTTTTTAAATTTTTTAAAATTTTTAATCTGACTCTTTCTCCTCGACTGCTGTAACACTGGAATTTCTCAATTGTGGGATCAATAAAGGTGTATCTGATCTTATCTTATCTTTAAGGATCAATCGCACACACCATTTTTAAGTTTTGTGGCAAATATGGAAGCTGAAAAATTGTACTGAAACATGCTATACTCCCCTACTTATGTCACACAAGTTAATTAATTTGTTGTCTTTTTTCCCTTTATTAAGAAAAATGTTTTTTTTTTCTTTCTTGTCTATTAGATTTCCTTTTACTGGTCAGGATTTCTCTGTTTGCTCCAGGGTTGATGGATGGGTGGGGTTGTCTTTTTGTCCTTAATAATTGTGTTTGTTTTTTAATACTTTATATTAAAATAAAAAAAAGGGTTAAAAAAAAACAACCAAAAAAAAATAGAAATAAGTAAATAAATAAACGGTAATACACAAGGTGTGTGCATGTGTACCTTCAGTATAGAGTAAAATTCTATAGCAAATGTTTAAACCAAACAGGACCTCAACTTCACAGCTGTTCAATCAGGTATATTATGAAACGCTGCCACACAATGCCAAAATTGTCTGTAGGTCCTCAGAAAGCAAACCGTATCTTTTCTATCTTAAAATATTGTAATGTATCTCTCACCCAGTGTTTAAAGTAGGGGGCCGGGGGGAGTCACCTGCTTCCAATTAAGTAATATAAGTGTTCTGGCTAAAAGAGTGGCACAAGATATGCAATTTGACTGTTCCTTAGGGAGATGATTGTCCTCGCACTGAATACCAAAAATGGCTGTAAGAGGATTTGGATCAATTTTTTACCTCCAGTATTTTGGATTGGGCTGTAAAATGGAGAATGGGTTACCCAAGAGCCCCGGGCAAAACCAAAATGTATGCAGGTGAATTTTAACATATTTTCCAAGGGTCATCAACCAATGGATACATCTTTGAGATTCTGACTTCAGACAGATGAAGTCTGCGTACTACCTTGAACTGAATCAGACCATGCCTGGCACATGTTGATGGAGAATGTATTCTTGAGAATATTGGGCGGCAGTGTTTCAGTCTACAGAAACTTGGGTTGGGAACCAGAGGGTTGGCAATTCACGTCCCTGGAGAGGTGCTGGTTCGCTTCCTGCTCCCGCCACTGCACAGAACTCCCACCTACTCAGGGGTGCCTGTCAATGGGCGGCCCCCTCGCTCTGACATCTCTCCATGGGATTAACTAAAATGTACAGGACTATCTGTATCTCACTGTACCCTGTCATCACGCTCAAGTCATTTATACACCTGGGATTGTGAGCCCTGTTATTATGGAGGCCACTTCTCATTACAAACTCCTCCAGGAAGTAGACCCCCCCTTACCCAGCTGCCAGCAGCACCAAGGAAAATATGAAATATCTGTAATTATATTTATATAATTAAAGATTTATATTTTATATTTATAGATTCCTTGAGCAGCACTTCCGTGAGGAGGAGCAGATGGAGAGCAGCGTTAATGACATCTAATGAACATCTATATGCTTCCTTGTTGAGTTAAGATAGGATTTATTTAAATACTGTCATTTGGGATACTTCTGTTAGATGTTATGTCTGTGTCTTTAACATGCTTCTCCCACTGTCAGTGCTGACAGTTTCCAAATGAATACTTTGGTTTCTTTCAGACTGACTGGTCAATAGAAAAACTGTCCAGTCACGATACAGTTTTGTCAGTGCTGGCTGGTGGGTGGTGTCGAGAACCCAGCATGGTCGTGATTCATGGTTGTTAAATGTCTTAATGGCGCGGCTCTCGGCTCATTTCACACAAACATAGGTACACAGAAAAGACAGTCAGAGTTTGGTATTAATATTCTTTACTCACAGTGATTCCAGGACTTCTTGTCTTTACTGGACCATCTGGGCCTGTTATTTTATCTCATCATCTCGACTAGATGATTTGTTCCTTGATAAATGATGAAAAATATTAGTAATATTTTGAAATTAACATTACTGCAAAGAGATGAGATTATACATGACGTTTAATAACCAACAATACCTGGAGATATATGGTTGTTGTATTGATCCCATTTCACAAACCTACATGATTTCCCACTTTACACAGTTTTCCCCAAACACATTCACTGCCTGACAACTTCCTCTCTTCAAATGTGTTTTGAATGCTCTGCGTGTAGCCCGTCAGCTCTGTCCCAACATGCTGAGCTCAATTCTGTTTTGTTCTCTGCTTTTGCTAACGCTCTGCCTCCCTCTCTTGTTTTCCTGTACTTAGAATACATCCTCCTGATAACTAGAGAGCTGAGACTTGATCCGCTGGCTGGATACCATGCCATTGAGTTACTTCAAAGGTAAGAAGGAGCTGCATGTTTGCTTTTCCCCGCCACTCCCGTAATGATATTGGCTTAGCTTTTATTTGAATAATTATCTCACCCAGGTTCATGGTCAAGCACCTTACAGATCTACTGACCACACCCACACCTCAAGGTGCAGCCGCTGATCAACGAGGAAGTTATGAGGATGCTGTGTTTGACAAGCTCAAGGAGAAATTCCCTCTCATTGTTTTCTCCTGTGTGCAGCTGGCAAGCAAACTGTCTTTGCACAGTCATGTAAGGTCTTCACTGCCTACAATAAATTAACCTTTAATACACTGTGATTAAAAATAAACAAATCTCCTCATACTAATTTCTTGAATATTTTCTAGATAATCGACAACAACACTGCTGTGTGCTTTCTGCATTCAGTCGGTCACAGTGTTACCAAGCAGACTGTCTTGGAATCAGAGCTGATGGTCTTGAAAGGGCTTGAATTCAAATTAAATGCTCCTAACCCACTGACATATGTGGAAATCCTTCTGGAGGTGCTTGGTAAGATATTGTACTTAAATACAGAGCAACTGATATGAAGGACAAAAGTATCACTAAATAAATAAATACAGGAATTAATAAATAAACACAGAAATAAATGAATAGATAAACTAATAAATAAATCACGAAGATATGGAAATAAATAAATGCATCAATAAGGAGATAAATGCAGAGGTTAGGACCTCCTACCTTAATAACACATACAGAAATACAAAATTAAATAAATATAGCTGTACAAAAATGTAGAAACAAGACATTTATTTATTTTATGTTCAATTATCAACTTTTTTATTTTTATTTATACATTTATTTGATTATTTCCAGATTTATTTATTAATGCATTTATTTATGTCTGTATATATTTCATCATACTTTTTTTTCTAATTTTTTTAATATACTTTATTCTTATACTTTATTTGTTGCTGTCTTTATTTATAGTTGATTATTTATTTCCATCTTCATGTATTTTTCTGTATCAGATTAATTTATTGATTTATTCTTTATCAATGCAATTATTGTCTGTATATATTTCAGCATATTTTTATTTTTGATATTTAATCTTGAATAATTTTCATATATTATTTATTATTTTGTTTATGTCTGTTTTTATTTATACATTTATTTCCATGATGTATTTTCCCTGTATTTATTTATACATTTATTTATTTATTTATTTATTGACACTTCAGTCATTTTTAATCCTCCATAACTTGTGAAGTATCAGGATGTAACAAACTGGCCAAAATTATTTCTATGAAGATATTTTAGTCACATCCACTGAATAGCTGTGCTGACTAAGCTGACTAAACTGTCATAGGTCACAATGAGCCATCCATCCCTGTCGAGCGCCTCTATCAACTGTGCCACCACGTTCTCCAGTTCGTCAGCCTTCAGAGGACTGCCATCTACGACTCCTTGTTAGTCACCACCACTCAGTGTGTTGACCCACCCAGAGAACAGAGGTACTACGTCTCTCTTTAATCCACATTTTCTGACTTTTTGGAACAGGTGGTTTCTGTCATGGTTGAGTGGACAAGCTGCTTGATTGGCAGTTGAGAAGAATACGACCAGTTGAGAAGTGTCTTTGCTGTTTAGGTTTCAAATTTTGTCATATGCCATCATGTTTCTCATGGCTTACCGCCTGCAACGCCTATACAGCTGTTAAATTATGACAATGAATGCAGCCTCATGCTGTTGGTGTAGCAGGCTATGAAACGTGTGGTAACTGTTTTTTGGCCACTTGAACAAAACTTGGAACTTTTCTTGCAGCTCTGTTGTGGTTTCCACTAAGTCCTGAGGGAAGTAACAGGCTCTTTGGCTGCTAAATGCTCCATTACGTTCACCTGCCAGTCTCTTACTTTGTCTGTCTAACATTTGGTGCTGAGAAGACAGTGTACAGTGAGGTTTTAGAGCTTTTAGATGTTAAAAAGTTGAAGAGAACTGCAGAGTCAGGTGATAACTGTGTGGCGTCATCACTGCTAGCGACCCCTGTCTTATTACACATAATCATTTGATCCGTTATTAACATAAAATATTGATTGTAGCTGCTCTAATACTAAACTTATCCTCATTAAACAGAGAGAAGTTTGTGACAGTGACTGAAGACTGCATGCTTCTGGGGGTTGGTGTCATCGCCGTGGCTGCGTTCATCCTTTGTGTCAGAGAATGGAAACAGGTGAAACACTTCCTATAGTTCTTTAAGTTCACAGTAGCATTTGTTTTCAGTGTTACAACCCTTTGAAACCCACATAGACCGATTTTTGTCTTATTTGGGTGGGTGGGGGAGATAGATAGCAGGTCAACAGTATGTGCCACACAGAAGTTGTATACATCATCTGAAAGCTGAGAACCTGGGCGCCTACTTAAACTGTACAGTTAAGAGTGTATAGGGGGTTAGAACATTATCATTGAAGAATATCATTGCTATTCCTATGATCCATTATGTCTCATAAGTTGTGGGCATGCCTCTAAAGGGGAGACTCGTAGGTATCCAGAGAACCTATTTTCATTCAGACATCTTGAGGTGAGAGGTCAAGAGACCTGGAAATGGCCATGCCGTTTGTCCTTCGCCCAAATTTTGCCCACTACAATAATGTCAGCTGGGATTCCTGGCAGCTTGTTGGGTCTCAGAGGGTTAAATGTTGAAACTGTGGACAGCATATGCAGCCACATCAAAGCATATCAAGTCATCTGCCTAGTCCAAGTTTAGTTAATGTACTTAATTTGTCACAAATACGTTCCATACAAACTGTTTTTGTTGATGTAGGCTTATTCTTGATACTTTTAATACATTGCAGGTTGTGGAAGAACTGAGCCACATCACAGGAATCTCACAGAGGAGCATCAGCGATTTTGCTCACGTGACATTGATGCACATTGTTAGAACCAGTTCCCCTGTAGCATAGACTTGAGTCCCGAGAAGTTTGACTTCTAGTAGTGGTAGGTGGTGCAGAATGTGTGCACCTTTGTGAGATGAGCGGAATAAAACATGAAACAGAATGAACAGAAATATCCAGTGTAATGAAACGATGCCAGAGGAACAAATCACTAAAGAGGCACTGGATGGTAAATGTATTAAAACATATTGTATTAAACAATAACTTAATCCTAATATGCTGTATGTCTTCACTGCTTTTACTATTCCTGTGCTACATTGATCTGCTCACTTGAATTAGATGCACAGTGGTTTATTGTTGTACTTAGTATTGAGTTACTCATCAGCCAGGATGTTAAAAATAAGGGTTTGGCTGAGGATCAAGTGTCAGGTGACTCTGGTGACTGGTGAGGGGTTCTTCCTCTCTCTGAATCCTCTGAGTCTCATCCTTTCTCATCAGAAAAGCAGCAGCCACAGCAAAACCTAAGGACAGAGTTTATAATCCCACTTAATACCAAGAAAAATCAGTTTTCAATCTGTATAATAATATAATGTCCTTCAGTTTATCATAGAGTATTTCAAATATGTTTGGAAACAGAAAATTGTTTGTTTTGGTTGGTCCAATATGGGACTTGTATCAAATCAATCAACCCTTTTGCCAGAATAAATGTTGGCATTGTATGTTTATGGAAGCCACAGATATGTTGTATTTGCATATTATTGTGTAGTAGATACATTCACACTTTATGATTTAACAATGCTGTGGTTAAAAATGCTTGTTTATGGTTACAAAAAACATGTTTGGGGGCTAAAACCTGCTGTTAAACAGCCACAAGTTGGTTAAAAAAGTCACAGAAAACACAGACATGGATCACTTAAAAACATGCACATTTTGGGGCTAAATATCTGCTGGAAAAACAGCCACAAGTCACTACAATTACTACTGTTGGGGGCTAAAAATCAGCAGTAAACACAGGCAGGGGTTGTTTAAGAACATGCACATTTAGGGGCCTAAAAATCAGAGGAAAAACAGTCAGGTCCCTAAAGAACACCGACGTTGCGGGCTAAAAAGCCGGAGTAAACACAGCCACAATTCACTTTGAGATACCCATGTCTGGGGGCTAAAAACAGCAAGAAGAGCAGCCATGAGTCTTTTAAAAACATCCTTGTATGGGGACTAAAAAGCTGCTGGAAAAACAGCCACAAGTCACTAAAAACAACCTCTACTAGGAGCTAAAAATCAGCAGTAAACACAGCCAGTGGTTGTTTAAAAACATCCACATATAGGAGTCTAAAAACCACAGGTACAACAGTGACCGGTCACTGAAGAAAACTCATGGTTAGGGGCTAAAAAGCACCTGGAAAAACAGCCACAAGTCGCTAAAAGACACCCTTGTTTGGGGGCTAAAAAGCCGAAGGAAACACAGCCACTGATCACTTAAAAACACCCATGTTTGGGGGCAAAAAATTAGCAAGAAAAAGAGCCACTGGTCGCTAAAAAACATTGTTTGAGGGCTAAAATGCACCTGGGTAACAGCCAAGGGTCACTATAAACCACCCTTGTTTGGGAGCTAAACAGCCAGAGGAAACATAGCCATGTGTCATGTAAAAACACCGTCTTTTGGGGGCTAAAAAGTTGCAGGAAAAATAGCCTTGAGTCAATAAAAACCATCCTTGTTTGGGGGCTAAAAAGCAGCAGGTAACACAGCAACGGATCCCTGAAAAACACCCACGTTTGGGGCCTAAAAAGCCGCTAGAAACACAGCAATAACTTGCTGACACACAACCAGTTGTGTTGTTTATTGGTCTCGAACCGTGGTCTGCAGCTTGGCAAGCGTCTTGCCTTGTGACACGCGATTCATTCCTTCCCCATCCCAATGACAGTCATATTCTACATTACTTAAAAACATTGATATGATTTGTAAGACACATGCATATATCATGTGTTCCTGCTTTGCAGAAACAGTAACATCTTCTGGCAACCGGGCTGCGTTTGGTCTGACTAATGCATACACATCCAGGTAATAATTAATTTCAAAGTTCAAGGCAGTTCCCTTCCCATATCAAAACACTGATAAATATAAATCTATTCATAGTGCTAACATTCAACAGCAGCCTCTGAGGAGACCTGATGGCTCTGCGGTGTTTCCCATGTAATTGCAACATTCTGGGTTTGACCTCCAAACACCTCGGTGCTAAAAGTAACAAATTCAGAGCCAATTATTCTCTTTGTATGCTTCCATGTGGGTCGTCCTGTTCTGTTCAGTACTATGCTGAATAAAAACAAATCTTCAAGAAGGTACAGTTACCCTGGGGAGTGGGTTGGAATATGTTACCAGCTCTGATTACGTCTGTTTCTCCTCGTAGAAACAGGGATGTCGTCAGTCTGAAAACAGGTGGGAGCAAAAGTGCTGTCATAAAGTGCGGCCATCATCTTTTTTACCACCTGATTTTGACCACTGGCTGACTCTGTCTCAGTTTACCTGTGGCTATCTACTAACCTAACTCGATTCTTGAGCAGATCCATGCCTTCAGGCAGTCGAGGTGAATGAACCGCCACTGTTGCAGATCTGACATCTGGTCCTCTCTTAAATAATGACTTTGCTAGCATATGATTACCTTTGTTTGATTGTGCATACAGTCTCTATGTTGCTGTTGTTTAGAGACTGGGTGTTTTGGGCAACAACAGCCCCTCCCTTCACTGCTTGACATTCTTGAACGTGTGCTCGTTCTCTGATATCCCTGAACGGCATCAGGTCACTCATGTTCAGATTATCTCGCTGTCCAGAGGCACCCTCAGCAGAAAACTGCAGCCTGTCAGTAGTGCAGTGGTCTTCCTCAATGTCAGAGAGCACCCCGCCCAAAAGATGCTCCTGAGTGGAGAGATCAGGCGTGTCTGTGATGTTGGCTCACTGAAGCTCAGGGAGATGTTGGTGTGTCAGCCTCGGCCACATCACACAGCCCATATTGAGTCTGTCAGTGGTAGGTAGCACGTGAGCCCACCTTGTTTGCGCCAGGAGAGGATTGAGAGTGTATCCATCACTACTAACAGGTGAAACTGCTGGTGTTCTTCACTGTGATCTGAAAGACTTGAAGATGTGAGAGAGAGGAGGAGATCTTAACAGGTCACCTGACTCCTCCTCCTCTCCAGGTTCACTGGACAATGTATGAAATGTGGGAACATGTGAGGCAGCGGTGGCACCTCCCAGGAAGTCGTCCGGAGCCTCAGCACTGGAGGGACGCTCAGAGTCTGCGGTATCCTCAGTGTTTGTTTTTCTGAAAAGGTGTTTCATCTGGCCAAATCTCCTCAGGAAGCCTCGGCTTTGTCTTTGCTTGCTCGCCTCCCCACCGGTGGATCCAATTAATCCTCTGTCTTTCGCATGCTCGGACCTGCGCTTGTTGTGATACTGCGCAGGGTCCGCTTTGTTGCCTTGGTAAGAGGAGATGCAAAAACACAGCAAAAGATATCAAACCTATTGGCTCGTGTTGAAACACAGCAGATATCAAATAACAGCTAATGAAACGGCATAGGAGCTGTAAAAATAAATGGACCTAAAGGTAATGAGAAAACTGGCCAGTTGTGTGCTGCTTTATAACCTGCAGCACAAAATGTATCCTCGAAAACTTACATCTGGATGCCAGGGGGGCCTCTTCTCTGTGGGGAATCTTTGAAGTCGTTGCCAGCTCTGCAGTCATGCTCTGGGTTCCACTGGAGACAGCTTGAAGGCAGGACACAGAGCCTTTATTCGATGGGCTCCCTGGCTCAGACGAAGCACTTTTCCCAGAGCTGCAGGGGGGCGACTGCAGGTGGCAAGCAAAGAGGTTTTGGAGTGTACATTTGTGTGACTTAAGAGGGGCACTGGATGCTGCTATACAGAAACTGTGGTATGAGTATGTTCCACAGATGGGGTAGTTTCTAATTATGTGGTGCAAGCTCTTGCTGTGGTGTTGTTTAAGTTGTTACCTCTCAGGTGTGTCCTGTGTCACCCCTGTATCTGCCCTCTCTTTCTCCCCCCGATCCTGACTCTGACACATTGAAGAGGCAGTGAGACAATGGATGGCAAGGACGAATGTTTCAGCACCCTGACCCTCCCAGTTTTGAGTACAATGCTGAAACACAAAGTAGTTTACAGTGTCAGGGGTTTAATTACAACAAAACAGATGGCAACTAGCCTGAGCAGAAGAACCTTTGAAGGTGTGAAACAATCCTGGGAAAGTAAGTCTGTAGCAAAGTGTAACACCTGTGTTCACCAGCAGGTGTATTGACTGTGTGCCATGTTGTTCTCAGTATACTTAATGTTAAATACATAACGTAACAATGCTCAACTATAACTCTTTTCCTAAACCTGGACTAACCAATAGGGGTACTAATTTTTTGGGCGCTAATTTGTTAGAGGTCATAAAAACAAAAGTGAAATAAATCTAATTAATGTTATGTTTTCATGTTTTATGTTTTTTCAACTGGGGAGACCTGAGGCAATTATAATATTTCTAACATTAACTCACTTGAAATACACTTGTCAGTATTCCATATAAGACACACATGAGAACTAATTAATAATACCATTGATAAACTTTACAAGGAACTTTGCTTTTGCAGACATATATAAAATTCACATTTCTGTCAATATCTAATATTGTTTGAACACATATAAAACACATTGTTTAATCCAAAGTATGTACAAACACATTTATTTTCATAAACCGTTTTGAAATACAATTTTAAATTTAGATTTAGTATTTTTTTGTTTTGTTTTCAGCAAGAATGTAAATTCTCAGAGGAAAATTAGCCAAGTAAACCTGTCTGATTTGGAAAAATGACATTTCTTATATTTTATATTTCTTCATATGAATTTAGCTATTATTACTCTGTAGCCTAGCGTCCTGGGTTTGCGTAACTGAATAATTAATAAAACAATAAACAGGACAGAAGATAGTGCACTAGCTCCAAAGGCAACCGTTGACCACTCATTTTCATCACTCCAAAACTCTTACACATTAATGAACCCCCTAAAACAGCAAAATGTCACCCCATAACTTTCTCTGCCCTACGGCAACTCAAGAGGGACAGACAATATAAAAAAAAAAAAAAAAAACAGTCTGCTACATTAAAGGGATAGTGCACCCAAAAATGATAATTCAGCCATTATCTACTCACCCATATGCCGATGGAGGCCCTGGTGAAGTTTTAGAGGGCTCACATCCCTTGAGATCGTGGGGGGAGTGGCCAGCACACATAATGGCAGACGGCGCCCCAGACTAACTTCCAAGAACGCAAAATTGAATCCACAAAGTATCTCCATACTGCTCATCCGTAGTGATCCAAGTGTGCTGCAGCCGCGACATAAAAAGTTGTTTGGAAAAACGTCATATGATCTCTGTTTTTAGCCTCACTGTAGCCTGTAGCTCTGACTGCTTCTCTGTGCTCCGCGCTCACATGTGTGAGCTTGCGCGAAACCAGCGAAAGCATGAGCTTTGCTCATCCGTATTTACATCACGTGACACGTGCACCACAGGGAGAGACAACAGTAACCACAGTAGCTAAAAGATAATTTGCACTACGGTCTTGTAGCAAAGGACAGCCCAACATGTCTGAAGACTTTGAAACTGAGGAGGAACAGCATTTCTTTGATGAGCTGTATTTGTTTGAGCCCGAGTATACGGACGGAACTCAGGCTACTGGACGAAGCAGCTGCCGCAGCTCATGAGCCTAACCCTCAGCCAGCCGCAGAATACCGGAGTCGAGCACTGGAAACCTGGTGGTGTAGTTGTTTCAAATGCAAAGCAATGCCAACGGATGAGGAAAGTCTTTGCTGCTCAGACTGGGAATTGGCGATGCCTGCACTTGAGAATCTGGACATCAGTACTGACGAGACTGCTGCTCTTCAGAGACCGTGCATCACCGATCACTCTGAGCGCGCACGCGTGAGCGCAGAGCACAGAGAAGCAGTCAGAGCTACAGGCTACAGTGAGGCTAAAAACAGAGTTCATATGACGTTTTTCCAAACAACTTTTTATGTCGCGGCTGCAGCACACTTGGATCACTACGGATGAGCAGTATGGAGATACTTTGTGGATTCAATTTGTGTTCTTGGACGTTAGTCTGGGGCGCCGTCTGCCATTAGGTGTGCTAGCCGCTCCCCCCCCCGCCGATCTCCGCGAGGGATGTGAGCACTCAAACTTCACCAGGGCCTCCGTCGGCATATGGGTGAGTAGATAATGGCTGAATTTTCATTTTTGGGTGCACTATCCCTTTAAGGGTCCGGGAGAATACTAGATTCTGATTGGCTGAGGTGTGTCAGTTAAAAACTGATGCTGTACAACTACAAAGTAGTTCCAGTGAAACTGTCTGTTCACCGTTCTAAATTAATGCGCCAACTATTTAACAGCCCACGCTTGTATCAAATATGAGTAAAGGCCCTGACACACCAGGCAACGTTTGGCCGTCGGTCAAAGTCGGGCCGTTGGTGGGCGTCTGCCGCCACGGTGTGTCCCTCGCCGTTGGCCCTCGTTGGCATCAGTTGGCCTGTCTTTTCCGCCATTAATCATGTGGAGGCCGTCGGTGAATAAAATCACTTTGATTGACAGTTCAGCCAGCGCACGAGAGGAGAAACGGAAGTGAGAAATGTAAACCAACAGCTAAAGACAAAAAGGAGTGAGGTAGAAACAAACTTGTTATTTAAGGTAAGACAGTTTTTTAAACTATTGAGCTCTTAATCAGAAACATTTCCTGGTGGTTTGTGTAAATTGTTTCCTGACACACGGTAACATTGCTATTTTCTTTCAACACTGGATTGTGCTGTTAATATGCTAACTGGCTAACTACCCTCAAGACCGTCTTCCGGTTTCCTATTTGAATGGCAAATACAGACGGCCGCCATAGTAAGTTGAAAATAACATCAACAATCTGACCCTTTTAGAGCTAAAATTACATTTATTAACAACATAAGAGACTGATTCAAACCAGTTACTTTTGACAAAAACTCCACACTTGCGTTTTCTGTACTGGTTTAAGATGAAGGAAACATGATAATTCATTATGACCATTAATTATATTACAACAATATTTAACACCAGTGTTACAAATTTAACTTACGTTTTAAGACAAATCGATGTTAAAGATGATGTCAGTTGAAGTGAAACTGGAGTTGCAGCTGTAAATACCACCACAGATTCGTTTCCATGGAGATGCGCGTTCACGTACATAGAGATGTGTATGACAAACGTGGATGTAACATTTTATTATTTATTTTAAAGTTAGTTAGTTTCTTACTTCTTGTTGTGGCCAATGTATTATTTTAGGAACTGTTATTTACCTATTTAAGAAGGGAGAGATGGCTGGGGTGTGACTTTTTAATTTTATTTCTTATTTTGACCCTCCCCAGAGGTACAGGTATTTTTTCCTCAGCCTCCCAGAGTTCCTTGCGGGAAATACATAGCCCTCCCGCCACCATACATTAGTAATTAGATTTTTAAAACTTATTCTTCAGTGTTTGAAAACTGAAATGTATAAGTTAAAGATGGAATCCTGAAGTTGAAAAAAGCTTCGGGTTTCCACTCTGAAATAGCAGAAATAGCTCAGATCTGGTTATGTTTTTGTTTTTGAAGGAAGCGCGTTCCTAGCACATGATGTGTTCAAGTACCTTCTGAAATGTGAAAATCCAATGATTTGTTTCAGTAAATTAATTTTGGTGATTTTTAAAGATAACATGCTTTCAAGGTTTGGAAGGCATGTTAAATAATGGTGGTTTAAAATTAAAGTTTAAATTTGTATGATATTCCCTGTGACTTGTCAAACAATGACTTGGTCCCACCTCTGCCTTTTAGTATCTTGAACAAACTCACAAAAGACTAGAAATAATGTTCTTTTTAGGCATTGTACATGTTGGGTTATTGCCTCATGGGGCACACATTTTAATACTTTTATTTCTGAATACAAACTTGCTTCTGGATCTCTGCCCCCTCATGACCACATATAACTGATAAAAGCACAGACTCTCTGATCTCTCAGTCTGCCATTAGCATAGCATCTGAGAGTGGTTTAAAGATACTAACATCACACATATGGCTGTGCCAGAGGAGCCGGAGCTCCAGTAGATTAGCAGAAGATCCGGGGCCAGGCTTCATTGAGTCACTCCCTGGCTCCCCACGACTCCGCTGATCTCCCCGCAATCTTGTGTTAGGCCCCATTAATCTCACCTCCCCTTGCAGTCTGTTAAAGGCAGCGTGGGCTGTGCACTCACCTTTACTGTTTTCATTCTTTATATACAGACAGAGGGAAAGTATACGCGAAAGGCAGAGGTAGAGAAAGCTCTGGCAGGATTTGATTCAATGCCAGTGGAAGCATTTCCAGAAGAGAGCGGGTGGCTCAAGCACTTGGCTATCTGTGACCACCTCGTCCATCACACTCACTGACACACACATGCACACACACATGCACCCTGCACCAAAGCCAGTTTCCATGGCCACCCTCAGGTATTTCTCATTACCGTTTGCAGAGAGGGAACCTTTTAAGTACAAATATGTCCTTTGGTGGCCTTTTTATGTCTGCCAACCAAAGGAGATATATCGCTTACAAGTTGAGATGTATGATGTTGGCATGTCTTAATCCTGGCAAGTGTCCAATGGGCTAGCAAAGGAGGAGTAATTTATATCTTAAAGACTGATTAATCAGGGGTTTACTCTAGCACGGCAACCTTCTTTAGATGTAATAGAGAACATCTTCCCCCCACCAGCAAATTAATAATTGAAAAGCCTGACCTTAATGAAATGATGAGTGAGCACTGGAGATAAAAATACACATAGGAACTAAAAAAAAATATCTGTACCTGTGCAGAAGCCTCATAAAGTTAACCCCAAGTCACTTTATGGAGGCAGCTGCAATAAAGGACTCTATTGCTACCTAAGTTTATATCTGAACACTGGTTGCGAGTTAATCACAAGATAAAAGACTAAGTGGATTACAGCTAATGCCAGGTTTTAATTCACTCAGTAATCAGTAAGAATCAGCCCTAATGTGGCGGTAAATTATCAAAGGTATACTTAAGCTATGGCCACCCTTCATTATAATAACAACAAACTACAATATAATCAATAGATATTGTTCTCATTTTTTAAATTGCATTATTGCATATTAGTGTAATTGTGATACATTGAGTTGATGCCTTATAGATTTAGGTCTGAGGGCCATTAATGCCACAATCAAGCACGGTGTATAGTTAATTTTACCCTATGCAACATCCCTGATTGTAATTCTGGCTGATAGGTAATTTTATTGACTGATCGAGGAAGAGGTCAGGATAATGTCTGACACCGGCCAACCTGTTCTCCATCTATCATTTCAAAATGTCAGGTGCCATGATCAGCAGGGGAGATGAATTGAAGTTTGATTGGCATCGACCTTGTTTCTCTTGAATAATTATGAATGATTTAGGTATTAGTGCCTTATTTCATCATAAATAATTCATTAGTACTGCCTTTCCACCCCCACTGTGTTTGCTCCTGTGCTCCGGCTGCTCGCAGGGGAATTCAGCTGCGTCAAGCCGGTCAGAGAAAAACAGATTGATACCGGAAATACGGCAGCGATGATCTTAAAAACGTAATAAACAAGGATGCATTTATATTTATTATGCTTACGTGTATTCATGAAGTATATTTGGATTTTTGTTTGCGCGCTTTACGCAACGCAATGCAAACTGTTGCAGCTGTTAATGGTTTTATTTTGAAAGGTAGCACCGGAAGTGTGATATTTGAAAGGTTTAAGTGACTTGACACAGTGATAGGCAGGTCAGCAGCGCTCCATGTTGCGGCGATGCGTGGCACTGGGCACCGACTGGCTCTGACTGCACCACACACATGACTTTAGTTGTGAATGGCCCCGGCACTCGGCACATTTGGCGGGCGGGAAGAAGCAGCCGTCAGTCCGGGCAGAGCTACCTGCTGCAGACCGTGCTTGCGCCGCGTACACCCATGGGTGTCGCTACTGTGACCGTCTCCTGCGTTTGGACTGAATGTGGCAGCCGCGTTGATCGGTGCAGTTATTTTCAGAGTCGAGCTATTTCGGAGCGATTGGAAACGTGCAGACTGCTCGGGTGATTTGGATTGAGGAGCCGCACGGAGCGCTGCAGCAGACACGGTACAGCACCGGAGCCGCAGCAACAGCAGCAGCAGCAGCAGAGGAGGCACGGGTGTGATGCCAAAAACTGGCCAGAAAAACAAAGGTTCAAGTCAAGGAAAGGTAATCAGCCCTTCTCTTTTTACAGCAACTTCTGCTCTGTCTCAGCTGTGCCTGTCTGCAGTTAAAAGTTTATTTGGGTTTTACATGTAATGTGTGTGTTATAGGTGTCAGGCTCCTGCAGCAGCCAATCTATAACCTATAATGCCTGTGTCTTGCTGCTGTTCATAGGCAAAGCCCAGCCAGCCAGCTAAGCCAATAAACACCCCCAGTAGTGTTTAATGAGATAGACTTAGCTGCTCCTTTGTACACAACAACAAGCATTTCTTTTGTCAGCACACAGCAACATGTGCATGACTTTCATTTTAGAACTGTTTAACACATTGTTGTGTGTTTCCTCTAACATTATGTTGTTTATTGGTGATGGTCATTCATAAATGTCGTTTAAAGAGGGAGCCTGCCACAGAATTTGCGGATAAACAGATGCCTTGCTGTATCAAACAGTGTGAGTTGTTGTTAAGGTTTGTGTATTAATTTGTGCACATATAGAGTTACCTTGTGATGGTGGATGTACTGTAGGTTACACATAGAGGATAGTCATGCTGTACGCGCGGATGGACTAATGAACAGGCCTACTGGGCACACGTCCAGGGGCTTAAAGTGTCAGGGGCCCCCTGGCCTTCACCTTCAAAATGTCACTCAATTTAGTATGTGCCATCCAGGAAGAGTCTCAAAATGACCACAAAGAGACATAAAACAACTACAAGGAGATAAAAACTGCTGCAAAGAAACACAAAATGACCACTAAGAGACTGAACACGACTACAAAAAGATGCATAGCAACACCAAAGAAACTGAAACTGACTACAAAGAGACACAAAACTACTCAAAGGAGATGCAAAACAGCCTCAAGAGAGACACAAAATGACAACAAAGGGGCTCATAACAACTACAAAGGATCTCAAAATGACTACAAAAAGGAGCGACACAACCACAAAAAGACTGAAAATGACCACAAAGTGGAGCATAACAGCCACAAAGGATCTCATAGCGATGACAGAAAAGGGCAAAATAACCACAAAGAGACTGAAAATGACTGAAAAGACATGCATAGATGCTACAAAGGACCTTAAAACGACTACAGAAAGCAACCACAGACACAAAAAACTGCAAAGAAACACAAATGACTACAAGGAGATGTGATGCAACTACAAAGAGATTATAGATAACTGCAAAGAGACAGAATAACCACAAAGACATTGAGAACGACTCCTAAGAGATGCAAATCAGCTACAAAGAGACTCGAAACGATTACAAAAAGGGGCAAAACAACCACAAAGAGACTGAAAATGGCTTCAAATAGACGCAAAGTAACTAAAAAATATTTAAAATGACTACAAAGAGACACGGAATGACCACAAAGAGATGCAAAATGACCTCAAAGAGATGCAAAGCAGCTACAAAGAGACTCTATATGATTACAGAAAGGAGCAAAACATAGACAAATAATCTACAAAGAGACACAAAATAACTACAAGGAGATGAAACACAGCTGCAAGGAGACAAAAAATGACCACAAAGAGACCCAAAATGACGCATAGCAACTAAAGAGAATTCATAACTACAAAAGAGGCACAACAACCACAAAGAGATACCAAATGACTACAAAGAGACACAAAATGACTACAAAGGGAAATGAAGTGACTACAAAGAGACACAAAATAACTACAAAGAGACACAAAATGACCACAATGAGACTGAAAGTGACTACAAAGAGACATGAAATGACCACAAAGAGACTGAAAGTGACTACAAAGAGACATGAAATGACCACAAAGAGACTGAAAATGACTAGAAAAAGATTCGAAGCAACCAGAGAGATTCAGACCGACTACAGAAAAGGGGCAAATCAAACTACAAAGAGACCCAAAATAACTACAAGGAGACACAGATGCAGGAGACAGCTGCAAAGAGACTGGAAATGACTACAAGAGACGGATAGCAACTACAGAGAGACTCTCAATTACTACAAAAAGGAGGAAAACAACCACAAAGAGACACAAAATGACTACAAAGGCGCAAAATAACCACAGGCAAACAAACTACAAAGAAACACAACCACAGAGCAATGCATAAGGACTACAAAGAGATGCTAAAGCAGCAACAGAAAGAGACTAAACAACTTGCCCTTGTGAAGCAGAGATGGTGGGGCCTTCTGCGTGTCTGTACCCATGGGTCCATTGTCTCATGATCCGCCCATGCCTTTATGTGTAACCTATATTCAGCGCACACAGTCTGAAGGTATAAGGGGGTTGCCCACCCAGACAACAAACTGTCCATAAAGTGCGGAGGTTTATATGGAAGAAGCTGTTCTTACTTGCTAAGTGGCTTCAGGCCAGCACCTACCTCACTCTGCGCAGCCTATTATCTGACATCTGGTCCTTCTCGACAGGGTCTTATGTGGTAATAATATGTTTCAACAAAGACTGTTAATCTGTGTAATGCCTGTTGTTTGGAAGGGGAAAACGCTTATTTCCCTATGATCACCATTCAGCACTTCATATGGATGGAGTCTGCTTTGGATGGGGGATGTGATAGGATGTGAAAACCTTGGAAGTTGTCTTAGATGTTTCTCAGTTATATGGATAGGATTAAACATGGTGCAGATTTGTAAAATGGCAAAACTGTCACAGACCAAAAAAATGTCATTTTTAAGGGCTTAGTTTACACACACTCTAAAATCGCAAGCTACGCCTTTATGGCATCCAGAGAACTGCTGTGATAAAGCATTTATCAGAAAAATAGGTCTGCAGACTGGTAAGATTTGGGATCCAGTACTCATGGTTTTTGTATGAGGCTGGAGATGACTGCTATCTCGCTGTACTTTTTTATTCAAGTTCTTGGTTGTCAGCTCGGCTCGGCGCAGATAAAAGACAGTCATCCTCAAAGCGTTCTCTCATCACATCAATGACATGCACTAGTTTTGCTTCTCCCTACTCCTGACACACATCTGTGAGTTCACAGCAAGGAGGTTTTCCATTATGAGATCATGATGTTTTTCTTTTTTAGTCGACCAGCCTTAAACTCTTTTGTCTTTCTCTGCTTATCTGCTCACGGGGGGGTTAGTGACAAGGCCTTGTTTTCCACAGTCCGAGCCAACGCAGGCCCTCCCGTCACGCTCACTGACAGGCCAAAGGTCAAAACTAAAAAGATTCTGCTGCAGTGAATGGGCGAAGGATTTCTCTCCAACTTAAGTTGACAGAAGACAGCCTTTGGTTTCACGCTGTACTTATGAAATGCACAGTATGAATAAAACATGCCTCAAATCTTTGAATCAAAACCGATACTAAAAGTAGGTACTCTAAACTCACCGTGCCGGTATTGCACCAGATAAAATGTAATTTATTGTTGAGAGCAAAATCGTTGTCATCAATTATGCAGATCTAGTTAAGTGGCAGAAATTCAGTTTACACAGAACAGGAAGTCTACGTTTGTGTCTGAGTGGTCACCCCGGAATAGAAATGTCCACCCTAAAACACTAAACCTCTCCTTGACATGTTTTGCATTTAGTCCATATTGTTGATTTCGGTTATTTTTCTTCTTCCACTGAGTATCTCTCGGGTATCTGTAGAAACATCCAGACATTTTCAATCCAACTAGTATGGAGACAATTTATTTTGCGTAGCACTTTTGACGTTTGAAGAAAAGCATTTCATTTGTTTTCTGTTTCCATCTGACAGTGTTGTTTTTTTTTAAGCTTGTCCAGTTCCCTAACCAAAACCATGTGTTTATTATTGTTACCATGACAATGGAGCTACCCTAACCGTAACAAAGCAGCCATTAAACCCAAGCTAACATGTTTCCTTAATTTTAAATAAGTACTTATTTGAGCCATGCTGCAACATCCAGGGACAAAAAATGAAGCAAATGCAGAAGTGCAAAAAACTGCACTTCCTCTAATGGCCACTTGAGGCTGACTCCAAATGCAAGTCAATCCCCATAGACCCCCATGTTAAAATGCCCAACTTTACAGCAGAAATAAACATGTTTACAGCCTTGCATGACAACCCTTACCCCCTCCTTTTAAATTTTATTACGGCCTACAGTTACGCATAATTAAGGATGGGCTGCTTTGAGTGACAGGCTGTCTGTGAGACTTCAAAAATCCAAGATGGTGATGGCAGAAATGCTAAACTTGAAGCTTCAAAACAGGAGGCCACAAACCATTAGGTGATGTCACAGTAGCTACGACCCTTATTTTATACAGTCTTTGATTTGAACTCAAGCCTCGATCTTTCCCTTAGCCTATACGTTTTTTCAACAGCGATTTGTTGTGGTTTTGGAAGGCACTGATCCCAGTCTGAAATACTGATGCTTGGTCAGTGGCCCTTGGCGTCAGATATTGAAACACAGAGGCACCCTTTAGTGGCAGTGTGAGACGCAGCAGGTGGCGGCATGTTTTGACGCTTTGAGTAACTTCCATATAAAAGAGCGTTTAAGTCCACATAGGTCGGGCGGGAGGGGAAATGGATGGGTCAAACAAACTCTTGAGCCTTGAACCAAAAGTCAATCAAGATGTTGTAGTAACAACATAGCGTGCTAGTCTGTGTAGCATGCTACACTTGTGATGTAGGTTACGTGACATTGTATTAAGTTAGTAACAAACATACTTATGTTGTTTTAAACCTAACCACATACTCTTGTTGCACAAACCTGAGGCAGTAAAGCTAAAAACAATTGGTTTTTAACCGACATTTTAAGTTTGTTTTGAAAAGAGGCTCTTTATTTTGAAAATACAATGCATGTAATGAGCGTTAATTGACACACAGTGCCTGAACGTACAAAACTGACACTGGATGGGTGTATAGTGTGTCGTAGTTTGACATTGAGGGCAACTGACCAGTCGTCGGTATTTGATGAGTTGGGAGTGCGAATGTGAGTGCACAGACAGATGATCAGATTAGAAAAAGCTTCTGCATGTCGGAGGTTGGAGAATTTGGTACAGGGAAAGAGCCATTGTAGGAGACACTGACAGTAGTCTTGATAAAGCTTAATGTAATGCA